TCAAGACACAAAAGAGGAGAACCACCTAAATGAGCCGATCAAAGATGAGCTAGAAAAAAACTCAGAATCTTTTTATGGATCTCATCTATGGTACTCTCCAATTTCCTCTTTTTTTCCTTCTTTGAATCCTAGGAAGACCCTTAAAAGATTAGAAGAATGGAGAGAAATTTTTCAATGAGATCTCATCTGGGTTTTGGACCTAAATCCCTGTATTGTGTAATGGGAAAAAAAATCAACAGATCAACCGCAATAGAGAGAATTTTTTAGTATTTTAACTATTGTTGATTGTATAAAAAAAAAAAATTCAATTTTAAGTTTAGCTCCTGCAATACAAGCATCATCAAACTAGATTTTACGTCTAATTGTAATTAAATCTGATGTAATTCTAATAATTTATCCCACTTCTTGCTCGGTAAGATCGTCTCTAGCATGACTCAATGAATTCTTGCTTTGCGAGTTGAAAACAATTAAAAAATGTTGTTTATAAATTAAAAATTTTTTAAACTTGATTCCAGTGTTTGGGTCCACATTAATTGTGTTGTAGTAGTAGTGCATGCCAATTTAATTCTAGAAAGTTCACACCCCCACCGTCTGTATCCGGCTCAATGACTCCCATCCATCCTACGCTTCTCCATTTTCCTCCACATTTCATGATATGATTAATCTTTTCTTGTTTTGGTTGAAGCATGAAGCACTACAGGGGCTCTGGAATGATTTTAATCCGTGAATAAGGGTTTGGTGGAAAGGAATCATCAATCCTTTCGATCTTTGAAACGATCATTGATTTTCTATTTTGTTCAATCAAGTCATAATACCCTTTTTTGGGTTTTGCAATTTTCTTTGATTTGGGATTTTACGTCATTTAGTTTACACTTTCACAAGATCCAAGTTTCAGTGGTTATCTACTAATGATTTATAAAAAGAGACCAGTTTTTTTTCTTTTTATGCCCCACTGAGCTTTGCCGTTCCAATAGCCAAAAGCAAATGCCATTGGAACGGCAAAGCTAACATCA